AGCGGTTTCAAAAAGTCATGAGAAAGAACTAAATATTCTTATAAGCAGGATGTTTTGAATAGTCATACCATTAAATTTTAAAAATAAGATTTACCGTGTTGTTAATTCTGTGAAAGTTGGAAGTGTCTACTTTAAATTGATAGCAAAAATCCTTTATCCTGAAAGCAACAGTCTCCATTATATTATACTTATTGGTACAGTTAACTATATACTACCTCTGGTATATAATCAAGCAAGACTCAGAGAACAGCCCCACCAATTTTGCAACCTATTTTTGCACCTGAGATTTTATGTCACTACTTTGATTTAAACCAATCTGGGATAATAGTTTCACACTAATATCTAACAATTCCAAAATAGGTACAGGGTGTTAAATAACTTGTCTGGTAATTATCCATTATAAAGAAAGGCAATATTAATTTATCAGGCTACCCACATGGGCCTGCCTAGTTCCCTGGCCACATTTCATTTGTTCATTCATTTCTCATTCATCCAACACTTACTGAAAGCTACCTATGTGCCAGACAATGAGTCAAACTCTGGGAACACGAAAATGAGTAAAACTTACTTTCTGTCTCAGAGGTGCTCACTATGCTACAGATCAGCAGTTTTTCAACTGTAGCACACAGAATCGCTTGGGAAGCTTTAAAAAAACAGTGATGCCTAGGACCCACTCCTAGAAATTTTTACTGATTGTGAGATGGGGATGGAGGTAGAAATGGACTTTAAAAAAAAAAAAATCCCCAAGGGAATCTATAGTATGGTGAGGGTGAACACAGAGACGTGTATACAATTAACAATGAAGTAAAATGCAACTATAAGAGAGGGAACATGGACAGACAGTAATCAACTTTAAAGGTAGGACTTAAAGAACTCTGGCTGAGAGGGCAAAGCAAGCCCCTCTAGTTCAGACCTTCAAGTAGATAAGCTGCAGTTTTGTCTCTACTGACCCATCTTCAGAATGCATCTTAGCCCAGTTGACCACTCCATTTTAACTGCAACCTCAATGATCACCAAAAATCATTTAATTTG